AAGATGGACTTGCTGCTGGAAATTCAGGAAAAAAGTTCTTGATTTTACTTCTCTGTTTTGCCAAATAAGTCACCAAGTATAGAATAATACTTGTCACCTGGACTTCGCATCCTCATTCACACAAAAATAACTCCATGTTTTGCAGACTCTTTAAGAAACAATGTTAGAAAAGTAACCCATCAAATGAAAAGTCTTTCTTTCTCTGGACTGAGTGTGCACGTGCACATGCATGCATGTGTGTTAATGTCAATAAGCAAGGGATCATGCTAGCTTACCTTTATTCAGACTACCTCCAAAAAACCCTCATTATATTAGCTTTAACATCTGTGAGAAATCAATACTCTCACCTGTATATAAAGTGCAGTCATTTTTTGATAGAATATTGCAGTCTGGCTGGGAAAGTTTTGGCCATATGCCATCTAACTTACAGCAAGTTCACACAGCGGAGCTATTGCACTTCTTTGTAATTGTATAATTCTGCCATATGCTGTCTTAACTAGATTTCTTATTAAAATCCAAATATGCCTGCATAAAGTAAGACCACTTCTTGCCCTTTTGCCAACTTCCTCATCCCTCCTGAAGTTTGAGGATTTCTGTAAATCCATGGTACTTCCAGCATTTCCTTTGTGACTATAAGTACATCCTCCTTTGACCTGTGAAAAGCCATTCATTTTTCATACGCAGGATGTGGGTCAGTCAGTTGGTAAGGATGCTGCAGTGCAGTCAGCTTCTCATGGTAATCAGTCTGCTGTGTTATAGCACAGAACCAATAAAAATGTATAGTCATCGTGTGTTTAGTGTGATGGGTCAGTGAACCTAAGGAAAACCTGGTCTCGACACATATGCCAGTATATAAGAAGAAAGTTTCTCCTTCTCATTCTCCTGGGCTAATCCTTAAGGATACAGCGGAACTAATCTTTTTCATTTTCCCCCAAATAAACTCTATGCAGCCTGTTACTGTATCCTTTACATCCTCAGGTATGATGATGGTCAGCATCCGTAGCAAGCTTACATGTGCAAATCTGGCCAGCAGCGGGGGATTAAGGGTGTGACTATGGAATAAAGCTTATTTTTTCAAAAGATTATTAAAATAAATTTTCCTTTGAAAGAATTCCCTAGAATTTGTAACATTGGTCTCCCTGGGGGATGGAAGAAAGTACCTGCCACTTTTCTCCATAGGCGATGATTTCCAATGCCTTTCAAAGTTCCGAGGTTATTTATTTCTAGGGATATCACAGGCTGCCTCTCTTTTGGGGGAAGTGCTGCTCCCTAAGAAGACGGGCTGGTTGGTTTTAATGTATAGGAAGAACATCTGTAACTCTCAAATGCTATTGACAGCCCATCAGATCTTAAGAGGCCCAGGTTGTTCTGGAGATTTTCTTTTAGCTTTGCTCCTTGAGCAGGTTTGTCACCTCATAGGTGACATTAACTTCTTTACAATGTAGTGCCCCAGACTGGACTGTTCACCCATGTATTTGCTTAGAAGATTGCAAAAGGAAAGGATGGAACAGCTGAAAAAACCAGTTTCAGCGGCATAATCTCAGTGTACTTTCCAGGTGCCATGCCAAACACCACTTCAAATTAAAAATAAAAATCCCTCCGCCTCCTTCAGGAACAGTCCTCTGGTTTCATTTTTCAGGCTTTGCTCAGCTTTTCCCCCCCGAGCTCTGCAGGCGGTGTTCACCAGAGTCGGGCAGCAGAGTCACTGGCATGACTAATCAAAACTGCTACGGCCTCTTACCGGGGAGCAGTAACAAGGCTCCTTTGTGAGTCTAATTATATCCCCTAAGCTGGCACAGCGGCGCGGATTAGCGCAGGAGGAGGACGCTGAGGGCTGCGGGGTCCCATGCTCTGCTCCGCCAGCATTGCTCGCTTTCGCCGGGGACGGCGCCCAGGTGGGTGCCACCCGCACCCCACGCGTGCTACCCTCGCCCACAGCTGGGGCCCCATTGCTTCTCCCCCAGCCCAGTCCCACTCCCTGACGTGGAGGCTTGCCTGCTGGCCGGGAACCATGCCTGGTCCCTGAGGAAGGGGTCTGGGGAGGAGGCGCTGCCCGGCGCGGTGCCTGGGTAGGGACCTAGGGCTGCGCCGGGGAGGGAGAGGCTCCTGCCAGGCTGGCCAGGAGGCAGGGCACCGGCACCCGATCAGCTCCAGCAGCTCTTCACCCCTATGCCCGTCGTTGGGATAAGCAAGTGCTGGGGGTGCCTCTCTCTTGGCTTTTTTGTATTAGCTTGTCCGTGGAGGGCGGGGGGGGGGGAGGCATGCGGGGGGGGGGGAAGCCATGCAGGGTTGTCTTGAATGCCTCTGATTAAAATTTCATAATAGGATTGTTGAAGTGGAGTCGGCAGGTTAAAGAGGGGAGGTGACTTTGAGAAGAGTACTTTGTGGTTTACTTGCCAATTTGCCTCCCGTTTCTTATGCAGACCTGGCTTCAGCATGTTTTGTGTTGCTGAGCAAAACCTCTCATGTCCCAGCGAGGCCGTGCACTGGGGTGTTTTGCAGTTGCTGCTTTCTAAGAGGTCTGCAACTAGTTTTTTCTTGGACAGGTCTCTTCATACTATTGTGTACCGTCAGGACAAATAGAGTAGCAGAATTAGTCTTTTAGTGAAACTTAAAGTGTCAAGGCCTGAGAGTTTTTCAGTCTTGAGCTTTTATTGCTATGAAAAGAAAATTGAATGGAAAAAGTTTCCCAGGCTGTGAGCAGTTTGCCAACATGCACAGAGGTTACACAAGGATGCAAGGGGATTTTTACAGAACAGCACAAGAGGAAACGAGTATGCTGATAAACGCGTGAGACCAAAATTGTTTGTTCCTCCCTGTAAATCTAAAGAAAGGATCGTGGGATTTCTTTTTGGGAAGGAGAGGTATATGAAGTTCTGAGCAAAACTGGGGTGGGGGTGGGGGGGTAAATCTTTTAAATACACTCGTTTTATGCTGTTTTGGGACAGGGGAGGGGTTTAAATGATAGATTTGGCAGAGTGGAATTTTCTTCTCGCTGCCAGTCCAGTTGCTGCTTCCTGCTCTTCAAGAACATATGCTGTGAAGGTGGGGTGCCAGAGCAGCCTGGGCTCAGGATGTGTTTCTGTCTCTATCTGCTTAGTGGTGACCAGACAGAGCAGCCAGCTCCATTAGAGAAATCCTTAATCTAGTGAGGCTAATGGAGCTTCCCTCCAGCGGGAGCTGCTCAGATAGGAACTGCCCGTTTTATTTGTGGGGCAGGATCCCAGAAGAGTTATGGTCAACTTTGCGGGTTACCGTTGGTTTATAATAAAGCATAATAATACACAGCAGAGCATTGGCACATAAAGCACATCACATCTTTCTGCTGACCTCACTGAACTTCAAGTAAAGCTATAAAATATTAGACTTTCATTAATCACTTGGAACACATATGTAGTATTCAGTATATCTCTTTCAGTCATCTTTTATATATGAAAGACATCTTTTCTATTCTTGGAGGCTGTTTAAACTTCCCTGAGGGAGCTCTATACTACCCTAACGCTAGTGTTACCCAATTTTGTTTTCCAGCTCAACAAGACTAAATCCAGTACATATAATGCAAACAGCTGAGTGTTCAGTGTTAGACAGAGCCACATTCACTGCTCTGGGTTTAAAAATAGTGATGTAGTCACAACTTGCATGTGAATATAGTATCGTTACTTACTGTGAGATTGTCCATAGATACCTTGCATCAGGTTTGATGTACCGTACCTTGGTTTATGCAGGAAGAGTGCACGGATCAATTCAATTATTAAACTACTCAGTCACATCAGAGGAGCTGATAGCCCCTGTGGCTTTTTAACACACAAGCTTTAGCAGCAGGAGTAACTATTTATGACTATTAGCTAGAGCTTTTTCCCCCTGTATTTCGTCATCCATTGTAACTGATCTGGCCTTGGAAAATCATTGAGGTAGTTTCTGAAACAAGCACATGTTTCAGCTTGCGGTTTTTTAGTTTTATTTTTGCCAGATTGACTCTCTTGTAAAACTTATTCTTGGTGATAATTAGGGTGACTAAAGATTGAGATCTGAAGGGGTGGTGTGAGGTGGGCTGGAAGAGGAATAGTCTATTGAAGATTTGTGGTGTTACTGCTGTGAAGTGATTCTGTTTTCAATATTGCTCAGAAAATAGCTTTTATTTTGCTGTGAAGTGACTGAACCCAGCTTTCAAGTCTAATGGTGTTAAATTGGGTGCATATCTTGGCACATCAGTTTCTGCAAAATAAGTCTCAAAGCCTGCAAGAACATTATCCACTGAACAAAATGAGCTCTGCTCTGGGAATCCCAGAAATCAGAGTTGTTTGGTCACTTTTAAACTTCCAGCTTTAGGTGGGTTTAAGTGTTTTAAGGCTGCGATACATCTGCTCAAAATAAGGCCTGTACATGTTCTCAGGGTATCCACATCAAGGGAAACAGCATTGTTGCAGTTAATAGGTTAAGTAGGGTTTTATTTTTTTGATAAGCATAAATTTACTGAAGAGTGTGTTTACTCAGTGGCTGGACTGGAGTGGGTTCTTCACCTGGACCAGCGGCTTGGGCTGGCGGCTCTAGGAGCTGCTGCCTGAAGGGCTGAGCCGCAGGGGTGGCAGAGGGGACGGCCACTTGTCCGTGTCCACCGCTGTTTCTCTGGGGCACGGGGTGGGGTGGCTATTCTGGGAGAATCTTTGGTAGAGGTATTGCCAGTTTAATATCCCTGCATTCATTGCATTTCCTTTTCATGAACTCTCAGTTCGTGTCTGCATTTCTGTAAGGGTCCCACGATACGGAGAGGAGTGAAGAAATCAAACCCTCTATTTTTAGGATTCAGACATACCCCTCTGTTTCTGTGTGTGTGATGGAGGGAGGAAGGTTTGGGCAGGGGTGGAGACACGGACAAGTCCATGCATCCTATAGGTACAGTACTGTGTGCAGGGAGGGACCCGTCTTCTCCAGGCATAGCTGCTAGTGCCTTTGCAATAGGAAGAAGAGTATCACTGTCTCTGGATGACCCAGATACTCATTCATAAGAGAGACCGTGCAGTGGAAGCAAGGTCATTCTTATCCGTTCGTGCTTCTGTGGCCATCAGCTGGATCTTAGTCTTGCTTAACCACTGTGTGACAAGGATCAGCACTGTCTTGTAGCAGGGAGGGTTGAAGTTGGGGGAGAGCTCTGTTTCTGATAGAATAAAATGGCAGGAGATGAAGCAGGACGTGGAGCCAGCCCCAGCAGAGGTGCCAGCTTCTTTCACTTGGTTCACGGCAGCCCCCATCTTCACTCTAGGGATGGAGGGTGGTGGCCTTGTCTTTCTCAGGGTAAGGCACAGATTTGCAGCCCCGCAGGCTGGTAGGAGCTCTCGGTGACAACGTTATACCTGCCCATGCAGATCTCCTCTACTTCAGTGAAGAGTCTCTACACACAATGTTGAAGAAATTAGCCCTGGATTAATATAGGCATAGGAGCAGAGGAGCTCATGCTCGAAGAAGTTGCAGGAAAATATCTGCCCTTTGCCAATGGAGAAATTGTAGATGGATGCGTAAGTGTTTCAAATTGTACTGCTTCTTGTTATAATGCTGTTACAGCTGCAGTCATCAGTTGGAGATTAAGAAGGGGACATAACTTGGAATTGAACAATTAGCTTCTTCACCTGAAACTTGAGCTGCCCCTGGGAGGTAAGGAGGGAGAGGTTACCTCAGAAGATGATTGTGCAACTATAAGCATCTTATGCCTTGGGCTTCCAACACGTTAAGGCAGCTGAGATTTCGTGTCCAAATTATGAGCTCTGTAATGTGCCAAAACTCTAATGTCTGTGTTAATCTGAAAATAGTTATTATGACAATAAAAATCCTTTTCTAAAAACAGTGCCATATATCACGGAGTGATTTACAGTTGCATAGCTACCTCCAAATGTCACATTCAGTGGAAGCACTATGAATTTTTACTTATACTTGTATGTATAGTCCAGAAGGGGCTCCTCCAGAAGAGGATTTATTTTCTTCTCTCCGTCCCCCCCCCCCCCCCTTTATTTTTTTACGCAGCAGTTTTTCCTTTCAAATCTCTGTTGTCCTTCTGAGACCATGATGCCTCAAGGGAAAGTTTCTGCATAAAAAGCTTATTCAGTTCTTTATTAGTGTGGAAAATACTGGTGG